TGCCAGACTGCGTAGTGCGTAACCCGACCAAAAGTAGCTCAATGTACCCGAACCCGGATCACTCGTAAAACATGTTGGCGAGTGTATAGGTAACGTACCATGAGCATTTTTATTTATTTCAATTTTAATGCTGATTTTTTTCCAAGTTTTTGTGAGTTGAGCGAGCATAGGGGCATCGATACTTCAAGTTAAAAAAATTATAAATCGTAGTAGAATATTTTAGATTTTTCTCAGTGACTTAAAAAATAGTTTGAAATTAAATTTGGCCGGCGGGAACGCGAATGTTTCAATTTTTCGTCTTTATGATTATTTAAATTTTTTGGAGTTAGAGAAAAAATTCATTGATAACTTAAACTTTCGATATTTTTTTGCTAAAATGACTCATCAGAGGATAAAAATTAATTTTTTAAAAAGGAATCTGATTATTCGTGATAAAAGGACCTCATGCCGACGAGTTCTTAATTCGCACACCTCAGTAAAATAATCAGAGTTTATATTTTAAAAGGTTCCATAAAATTTTTGATAAAAGTAATTCGACTTGAAGTTTAATGACAAAAAAGTTTGAATAATATCAGCGATTTTTTTTTTAAAAATTTCATTGCTGTCAGCATTTTTCGCGGGTTCGTATGTGGATCTCCATCAAAAGCCTTTTAGCAGTCGTATCTAAACTTACTTCTGCATAATATCTGCTGAAGCCATGTTTTCCGAGTCAAGTACCGCATTTGAGTAAATTGATGACTGAGATGTACTCAAATATATGCAGTGAGACGCATTCAAACGAGGTGCTTGCGAGTGTTCAATAAATATGCAAATTTCGCCATCGTTCTATAGAGAAATTTGAACAAACTCGTCTGCGTGTATTGAATGCGAGAGCCGATCGGGTGACCTCGGTCTAAATACATTTATTCATCAATTCTATAATCAGCAAAACATTTTAGAATTGCAAATATTTTGTAGCTAATGTGTCCGGGGTTTTTCACCTGCAAATTATGAAATTTAACTTTTCAAATAATTATTTGGTTGCGAGGAAAAATGGGGATTGATTGATGTCTGAGACTCCAAGTCAAGATATATTGAATAAAACCGCTGGAATTCCGAAATATTGTATAATTTCCAATAACTGAAGTCCACATTTTTGTCCCCGGAATTCCAAAAGTTTCTTATCACAGAACCCGAAGAAAGATGATGACGAAAAGTTTGGCTTACCGGTATTCCGGAACAAGTACTGCCCACGTACTTATTCTTTTACTTTTTGCGTATCTTTCCTTCGTACTCTTGGTGGTATTTGACAAGGAAAAATAAATGATATTAAGCAAATAAGAGCCCAAGAATAGCGACAGAAACTTTTTTGGAAGATCTTAAAACTTCGGGAACCGCTTTCGTAATGTATCGACTCGTAATTCATTTTTTGCGCATTGATTCAGGGAACTATTTTATTTGGTTCAAATGAAAAATTTCGGAAAAATTTCCAGAACTGATAGCCGATATGTCGATCTGAATGCTATAAATTCCAAGCACTAACCCTCCGAAATTTTAACCCTAGGGGCAAGGAATTAAGTTTTAAAAAATACCACAGCAAAGTTTTGTGCACAAGTTGTGCCTCTCGGTATTTATATAGATTATGGGAAACTTCTGCTTTTAGAAACTTGTGACACGCATAAGCATTTTAAAACTTTTTCTACTTCTCTCAGTGTCTAAAATATCAGAACCGTTTAGTACAATCGAGAATTAAAAATCCGAGAGAGTAAAAAAAAATTCCTGCTAATAATCTTGCTGTATTCAATAAATTATTGTTGCAAAAATGCATATTTCTGGAAAGGTGTGTCGAGGATTTCTTAGGGTCATAATCTATTTCATTCAGACTTTTTTTGAAACATTTTCAGAAAACCAAAAAAATTGATTCAAGTTAAAAGCGCCGCTTCTTTTATTTCTTTGAATGCTCAAAGTTTGTGATGTGACACTTGAAGGTCAGAACTCTGCAGAAGAGCAGGATTCTGACCTAATCAAAGTCTCAATAAGTTTCGAAGTTTTAAGGTCTTAATTACAAAATTTGTTTTAGTGAATCAGATTTGTCTTGTGATAGAATATGTATAGAAGTTATCCAAGTTTGAGAAACAGCTGAGTGTTGTCTTTGAAATAGTACTTATTAACCCTTGGGCATTTGTGGGTTCTTTCCCATCCCAAATTGGTTCCAGGATTTCTTTTTACATGCTTCTGCATTTTGGTTTGCCAAAAGGTCACTAAAATGCAAAGTTGAGAAAAATTCAGGAAAGGGAAAGCCATTGTTCTGAAAATCTCACAATCCTAATCCTATGACAGGAATGCAGAAAAAATGCCACCGAACAGCAATTTTTTTTTCTTTGATGACAACTTTTCTAAAAGAATTTGTAAAAAAAAATTGGGATTATTCCTAGTGTTGGCTCTGCTAATCATTCCTGTTTTATCTCTTTTTCCTCCTTCTGACACAAAATCTTGAAGATTAATCCTCGCGCAAAAGTTAATCAATTTGACAAATAATCACAGACTTGTCTTGGAATCATTCACTTGTCCAGAAAATAGTGCCAATTCAATGTATAGTAAATTCCTTATGTGATCTCGTAGGGTCAAATAAAATTAAATACATTTTGATACAATTACAGATTTCTGAGGTCTTCGACGCAATGCGATAAATTTCAAAGCCTGCTTTCCAAATACAGTATATACCGTGAATTCAATTTCAGGAAGCGGGAGTCTGACTTTATTTTTCTCTCGCCATTCTGCGAAGTTTCGTGCAAATAATTCCAACCAAGGTAAGAAAATGAAAAAAAAAGTTCTGCTCCTCGAAGAAGAAGAAAAAAAGTAGAAGTATTCTCCGACTTTTCTTTCTTTCTCGGGACTGCAAGAAGAAGAAGGAGAAGTGCAAGTTATAGAAGAAGAAGAAGAAGACCCCCAGAAATAAAGAGAAAAAGAATATATATATACATCAGGGGTGACGTTTTCATTTATGCCAGCACCCCAGTGCCTGAGATTGGATTGACCCCCACTTCTTCTTTCTCTTTGGCGGCGATTGACTGGCGACATCAGGGCTGAGGGAATCGATGCGATCACCAGGAGCTGAAGCATCAGAGAACTGACCTCACTTGCTTCTTTTCTTCTTCTTCTTTTTTTCTGTGATACATATATTTATTTATTTATATATATCTATATATTTCCCTTCCTTTCTTTCCTTCCTTCCTTCCTTCCTTCCTTCCTGTCCAGTATAGATACTTCCGGCTGAAGGGGGCCCTGGAGATTTCCCTGGAGAAACCCCTGGGTGGTGTGTCCAGATTTCCCCGCCATCTTCATCGGTATCCAAAATATTAGGAGACGGGGGAAAGAAGGCGATGACCGGGGGATAAGCGGGAACCCCGGGGGTGATGATTGGGTTCACCCCCCGAGTTTGAGAGAGTCTGTTTGTTTATTATTCTTCGAGTGACCCACTGCTTTAAAAGAGAGAGAGAGAGATTCCTATGGAGCTTCCTAGAAAGAAAGAGAGAGATTCAAATAAACAGGGAAAACATTTACATATTAAAATTTAATTTTTATATCATTTTATACTTGCTTTGAAAGCGCGCAGACGGGAGAGCGAAATTGTTTTCAAAATTAGGGACAGAAAAAAGACTGTTCTGATTTTTATTTGAACATCAATCGAATTTTGAAGAATCCGAGCGATACATTTTTCAAAGTGGAAAATAATTATTCAGTGTATTTTATACATATTTGGATATTCAAAATAAAACGAGACACGAAAATGGGGGGTTGACCGGGGTATAAAAGGCGGGAACTCCGGGTGATGATTCGGTTCACCCCCGAGTATGAGAGTCTCTGTTTATTATTCTTCGAGTGACCCACTGCTTGAAAAAGAAAAGAGAAAGAGAGAGAGAGATAGATTCAAATGAACAGGGAAAACATTTACATATTAAAATTTAATTTTTACATCATTTTATACTTGCTTTGAAAGCGCGCAGATGACGGGAGAGAGCGATTTTTTTTTTTTTCAGAATTATGGACAGAAAAAAGGACTGTTTTGATTTTTATCGGAGCATCAATCGAATTTGGAAGAATCCGAGCAATATATTTTTCAAACTAAAAATAAATATTCAGTGCATTTTTATGCATATTTGGAGATTCAAAATATTACGAGACATGGAAGTAAGGCGATGATGACCCGGGGATAAGAGGGAACCCGGGCGGGATGATGATTGGGTTCACCCCCGGAGTATGAGAGTCTCTGTTCGTTTATTTTTTATTTTTCGAGTGACCCAGTGAAAAATATAAAATAGATGCTGCATTTACATTTAAAATTTAATCAAACATATTTTTTTCCGCTTTTTGAAAGCGCGAATTCAGAGGAATGAAATTAAAAAACAAATTTGAAGAGAAAAATTTTATGGTTTTAGTAAAATCGTTAAAATTTGGTAGAATGAGACTGAGACATTTCAAACGAAAAACATTATTGTTCTAAAACGATTTGATGTAAATTCTGTTCCATTTTGATATCTGAGTGATGACTCAGTGAAACAATAAAATAAAATGATTAGACATTTGGAAATTATACATTTTTGCGTTATTTCCCATTTTTGGGGGAATAAAAGCAAGTAAAACAATTTTTTAAACGAATTGTGGATAGAAAAGTGCTTGAATTCTTGAAACATTCATTGAATCCGGAAGATTATGATCAAGACATTTTAAAAAGGGAAAAATGAATATTTGAAATTGATGAAATACGCATTGGTTTTTATTTTATTTTTTCATCCAAAACATAGAAAGATAAGAGAAAGAAAAGGCGATGACCAGAGATAAAAGCGAACCCTGAGGTGATTGGGTTCACCCGGAGTAAGTGGGGAATATTTTCGAGGGATACCCAGTAAAAAAAAAAAACATGCATTTGAAACTTATGGACTCCATTTCTTTTTTAGATTCCATTTTCCCTTTGCACATCCAAAATAGTGTTCAGTATTAAGAGACCCAGAAATAGGGCGATGGCCCCGGGGATAGGCGGCGAACCCTGGGGTGATGATTGGGTTCACCCCAAATGGGGAGTTCTGGGTTTATTCATTCTTTAGTGACCCCTTGTGGTAAGCGACTTCCGAAACCTTTGAAATATTTTTTTTCGACTTCATATTCCATTTTGAAGAAACACGAGTCATGAGAACAAAAAAGTTCTTTAAGTATTTCGCACACCAACAAAACCCTTGAATAATATTATGATTGCAATTCACGCGAAATTTCGAATGACGTTAAATTGAAATCCTCTTGAAGTCTAAGACCTGTGTATTTTTTATAGTCTATAAAAATACCTCATCATACTTGGCTAAATGATGCCTAAAATATTTTTGAATTTCGATGCAGTTTTAGGAGATTTTCAATTGGTCAAACAAACTCAAATCAATGAACAAATTTGCGCACTTATTCCGCACAAAAAGTTATTTATGGTTTCGATTGGGGCTAGAAACGATCCTGTGGTACATGTGACGCTGAATTTTTATTGGCGTTATTTTTAATTGGCGCTGAATTTCCCTGGCTGTAATTTATTTTGGCGCTGAATTACACTGGCGATGGTTTGCTTTTGAGCTGATTTTCTGTTGGTCTTTGTGATGCTTCTCCTAGTTTATTTAGCTTTGAAATTAAATTTTGAATTTGTGAAGCAAATTGGCGAGGTTTTGCCTTGGCGCTGTGTTTCCTTGACCTTGATTTGCTTTGGCGCTGGATTACTTTTCACTGTCATTGTTTATGGGGCTGTTGTTTTTCCTGGCTACATTTTTATGAAATTCTGAATATAAGTTCTACACATGATGAAATTCAGATTTATTTTTCTTTCTCGGATGTGTTCAGCAGCACTTCCCCAATGTCTCAGTTGTCACCTCCCTGAAGAAGTGAGCCATAAAAGCTTCAACAGAATAAAAACTGCAAAAAAACAGAGCACTTCACACAGAAAAAGGGAGAGTGTCTTGTGGATATTTGCATGCGTTGCGCAGCAGTGAGGGGGAAAAAATATTCAGGGCTTGTGTGTGTGGGTGAAAAACGGTTAGGAAATCTCATCTCGCACGTCTTTCGCACCCCGATTGTGCTGTTATTTATGGGTTCCGGTTCCGGTGGGTGACAAGGCACCCGTGTCGTCACCTTGTACATTATTATCCTGGCCGAATGTGCGTCTGTTCCGGAATGAAAAACAACAACACGTAAAATAACAACAGCAAAAAAAAAATGCGGTGAATTCTTTCTTGCTTTCTTTCTTATTATTTTGATTTTATGGAGGTTTTTTCTTCTCGTTCTTTTTTTTTTGGCTGGTGAAATCCGTTGAAATGTCTTGAGCAGGATGAATCCGCTTGTTCGGTGATATTTTTCCCGCGTGTCTCTCTCTGCATGGTAGTCGGTTATGTTGTCGGCTCCTGAGTCATTTTCTTTCTTATCCACTGCAGAAAGACCGCATTTCCAGGGAAAACTCAATTTTTCGTCGAGCTAATGGAACTTCAGGGAGAGTGGGAAAGTGTTTTCTATATTTATGACTATATAGTGCAGTAGTTATTAATTTTTTTTCTCTGGAATTTTAAATTTGTTTCCGAAGACGCGGTTTTGTTCCGGAGCTGTTTTCTGTGCGGCGATTTCACATTAAAATGTTTTTGATGGAAATTTAAATATATTTCTATGACTACATGGAAGTTCAGAAAGCGGGGATTTTTTTTTAGATAAGTTCCACGAATTAATTATTTATTTCAGATGATTTTCAAGAAGTGGACAGTTACCAGAAAGATTCGGACAGAAGATTTCTGAAATTTTCTCATAAAGATTTGCATATATAGGAACTGTTTATGTGGTTAACTAGGCTGAGATTTAAGGTTTTCAATTTATCTTGGTACTGAATTTTTTTTTATCAAATGTAGAGAATGTTGGGCGAATGGATTTGGATTTGCGAGTTTTTCCAACAGTGAATCTTCCCGTGTTCCCAATTTTTTCTTGTGTAAAACTGATTTTTGTTTGAATTCCTCTTTTCGTATGGAAAAAAGGGAGAAAATTCTCTGATGATGTGGAAATTACTTTGACAAAATTCAGGGTTGGATTCTTTACTTAATTCAAGAGTATAAGTAAAGTATTGGCGTTCTAATGCCATATATATTTCTGCATGTTTTTTTCTGGATTGTTAGATTTTGAAAACTTATGGGCAATTTAAAAGTTGTTTGAATATTGTTCTTCAACCTTTTCAAGATGAACTCTCATCACTTATCTTGTCTCATTTGTGCTTTTGTGCAACATACGCAAGATGCAAAAATTATTTTAAAAATCATCAGATTTTGGAATCAATATAAAAGGGTGTGAAGACCTAACAATTTTTAAAGCAACTGATCCTTTAAATTTATTGTACTCATATTGTTTTGACTAAAATGTTAACAGCCCATTTGAAATTCCATCATTATTTATCATTCTTGCTAAATCTGGTGTGCAACTCACACCAGTGTATTTGGGGTAGCAACATTCTGTTGCTACCCCAAATACCTTTTTTAAATAAATCTCATTTATTTGGTTAAGTGTGCAACGATGATTGTTGACAATGATTCAAATCAGTTTCTATGCACATTCTGCCACCGTGGTTGTCCAAGATTATAAATACAGGTGGCTTGCATAATTATGCAATTATTGGGGACAGATGTTGCCTCAATATAAGTTAGTGTCAAGCTGGATTGAAAGAATAATACAGCGTAAATTAAATACAATAATGAGCCTGGGACAGGGGCTGGGATTCCTTTTTGGAATTCCTTGGTTAAGGATAAAATGTATTTCACACAGAATAAGAACTACTCAGCAAAATCTTGCTTCAACTACTGGATTAAACTGGAATAATTCTCATGCATGGTATTCTTCTCTGCTCTTGACTGGCTCAACATTTAATAATTAATCTTCATAAGGTTTTATCATTTGATTTTGAGGTAGAGGATGAAACTCTAGAAACTACAGAGAAAATACATCAATGATGGCACACTTGCCTAACAGCAATCATCTATCAACAGACTTTGCAGCAAAACCGTGTCTGTGTTGCTCTGCTCTACAATAAATTAAATCTCCCTGCTTGAAAAGGATAATAAAATATATTCTTTCAAAGATATCCTCAAAGTATATCTTTGAAAGCATGCAGAAATAAATTTAAACCTTGGAGACCTACAGTTCTTCAACTCCGCTGAATGTTTTCTGTCTAAGACAAAATAAATTGTCTTGCCAGCAATAATTGAAGATCAAGGATTTGCATTTGTTTATGCCAGCTAAGACAGCATTAGACACTGGTCTTATTTCGTTTCTGTGAATTGGGGCATTTTCTTTGTAGACTAAGACTATTCAGCACACTTTTTCTCAGTTGCTGAACTGCCAAAAAATTAGATAAAAGTATAATTGCAGGGATGAGTGTAAAAAGGCTCTGTTTGAAGCAATGAAGGTTTGCGTGCACAGCTTGACTTATCCCTAATATAATTCCTGCAGACAAGCAGTGCAGAGAAAACAAAGCAGAAAACCCGGGGCTTGTGTGTCTCATATGTGCTTGGAACAAGAGAGGAAATTTCCTCTTCTGCTCTCTCTCCATGTGGATGAGAATTTCTAGGGCGTCTGTCGCACAATTTCCTCTCATTCTCTGTTTTTTTTATTCCTATATTTATATGTGTTTCTTGCTGGAAGAGGAGAAGAGATAGCAAGACATGGATGTTGTGTCCATAGGACTGAGATGGGGTGGGAAAACAGAAAAAAAAAGGAAGCAGTTTTTTTGGTTGGGAGGAAGAAACTGGTGGATGAAGTGTGATCCATCCTCATTTCCGGGATCCCTTATGTTGTTTATATGTGTCAAGATACCCAGCTTTCTTATGCATTCTAAATGTCTCAGACATGGAATAGAGATAAACCCCTTATTTCGACTCTGTTTGGGAAGTTATAAGCTAAGTTCTCATTTAATCAAGATGCAATTATTTGATGAAATTCAGGGAAAATGGGTATAAACTGTAAAAAAGATGATTTAACCCTTCAGAGAGAGCCAGGATATTTTTGCAATTTTTTTTAAAACTGCAAAGAAATTTTCAAATGCTGATCAGCATACAGTAAAGGAAAAATGCTAACTTTTTCTCGGTGTGCTTAAAACGGCTTGCTGAAAAATATGAAGTCAGATTTGTCTATTTTATGTTAGATCTTCAGCAGGCTGAAATAAGGAAATGATAAGTCAGATTAATTTCTTATGGAATAAAGAATTAAACTGTTCGTGACTTGTGAACTATGTTCTAAATGCTCAGTTTCCTTCTACATGTCTATGATTAATTCAGCTGTCTCATCTTAAGGTTAAAAATTCTTTTTTGGGAAAACTGAAAAATGAAACCCAACTCTTCAATTTGCGCCATTATTCATAACTTTCTTGGAAAGTGATTAAAAGCCTTGGATGTAAAATAGAATGATTTTTTCATGGAACCTGGAGCCATCAGAAATTTTTCATAGTGAATAAAAACCCATTGCTAATTTTGAGAGCATGTCTTGATAAACCTCACGAATTCTGAAATCTGTTTTCAGACATTCGATTCAATAGTAGACGAATTCGATTCAATACCGCAAGATTACTTTCTGAGATGGATGTTAAAAATATCTGCAACGCATAAAAATTTTATGCATCGTCATTCCACCAAACCTTCCCCTAAAAAAGAACCTTGACAAAAAGTTTAATAGTTTTTCTTTCAACCTGGTAACATTTTTCTGCGTTAAAAGCCAGGAAGTAATTTGATATGTTCTGATGATTCATTTTCTTTTTGATTGATGAAACCTGAGACAATGTAACCGGTGTTTCCTCTCATTTAAATTACGAAAATATTGACAAGGATTTAAGTTTTCTGACGATGAATGCAAGATTTTTGAGCGATGTTTTTGGACAGCTCCAGTTCCCTTTTCTTTTTATATCTGATAAATCATTTTTTTGTAAAAAAAAAAATCAAACCCAATTTAAACAGGCCTTTTTTCCTGATTCTAATCATGAAATCTTCAAAAAATTTCAATATTTTCCAACGATAAATGCTTTGTTTTGTCTGCTGCTTCAGTTTCCTTTTCTATGTTATCCGAAAAATCATTTTCTTTCAAAGAAAAAAATCAATGCTCATTGAAAAGTACATTTTTTCGTATTCAAATTCGGAGATCTTCAAAAAGATTCAAATTTCCGACCGATGAAAGCTTCTTTTTCCGTTATGTTATCTGAAGAATAATTTTCTTTCAATAAAAAGATCAATGCTCATGGAAAATATAATTTTCCCGATTCAAATTAAGAAAATTTTAAAAGCGATGCAAATTTTCCAATAATGGACGCAGCACATTGCTTTTTTGAGCGCCGTTTTTGTTGGGCTGCTTAAGTTCCCTTTTCTATGTTATCCGAAGAATCATTTTTTTTTCGATAAATAAAAATCAATGCTCATTGAATCGGGCATTTTTCCGATTCAAATTAGGAAATCAGCGAAATCTTCAAAAGGATTGAAAGTTCCTAACGAGGAACGCTTCCGTTTTTTTGTGCCTATGTTATCTGAAGAATCGTTTTCTTTCCCGAAAAATAATCAAACTCATTGAAAATAGGGGCATTTGCCGTTTAAAATTAGGAAATCTTTCGAACCCATTCCAAATTTTCCAAAGATTGGAGGCATTGTTTTTTAGCGATGTTTTTCGTTGGGTTGATTCAGTTCACCTTTCTATTTTATCCAAAGAATAATTTTCTCTCGATAATAAAAAAAAATCATTGCTCATTGAAATGGGAATTTTTCTGATCCAAATTCAGAAATCTTTCAAACTTATTCAACATTTTTCAAAGATTGGACGCATCGTTTTTTTAGTGATGGTTTCTTTTTTGTCGGGCTGCTTCAGTTTTTCCCTTTTCTATTTCATCCGCGTCATCTCGGGACATTTTTTCTGTAAAACGCGTGCTTCGTGCTTTTTCCATGTGGGCTGTCAAGTTTTTATGATAATTTTTATTCATCCCTGTATTTGTATGTTTTTGTGGCAGGTCTGAATGCGGACATTTATTACTTGAGGGAAGGCGTGAAGAACGACTATGCGCTGAATTTCACCGTCACGATCCCGGCCGACGTCCCCGGGCTGCATTTCACCTGGGAGAACCTTTCCAACAAACCCGTGAGTGTTATTATGGAGAGACCATATTTTTTCATATTTTAATGCATTTAAAAAAAAAAAGAAGAGTGAGAAAGGGAGAGTGCAGGAGAAGAATGCCGGGTTCTTGGCAGGAATTCCTCGGGATTTTTTTTTTTTTATCGAGAGGTGAATATACGAAAGAAAAAACTTCCCGACGGAGTTCGAAGCTTTTCATATTCCCTGAAGTAAGAAAAAATCTGGTGACTTATTTTAGATATTCGATGTTGAATGCAGTGTAAGATTGGGTTCTGGGATCATTGGATTTATTTTTTTGGCAATGGGGTTTTACTTATTGATGGGATATTTCACAGCGAGATGGAATTTATTGTGCAGTTCACTTATTTTGAATATTCGATATTCAAAGTGATATGAGAATGTTTCCTTGGATCATTTGACTTTTTTGACTACGGATTTTAACTTGGAATTTCACGTCAAGATGTTTTTTTATTTTCCAAAAAACGGCTACCTCTTCTTGAAATTACAAAATAGTGGATTTATTAAAAAATGTGAGTTTGGATCATCTGACGAAATTCTTTTGCGATCTCTTTCACAGTCAAAATCAATCGCACTTTAATTTGTTTTCCAAAATTTCGGTTCACCTTATAATATTGTGATGCTGAATATCAAATTCAATAAAAATATTATCCGGAATCATCAAACGTTGTTTTGCAATTAGTTTATTTTTTCGAATCGGTAAGGAAACTCTTTCGAAGATTTTTCAAAGCTTTCCTCGTTCCTGAAATCGGTTCACTTCTTTTGAAATAATTAATGTTGGATTCGATAAGAATGTTTTCTTATAGGCCATCGTACTTTTTTTTAGTGATGGGTTCCAGGAAACAATTTTTGGTGATGGGTTTCTCAAAGATGACTGAAGTTTCCGCTACATTCACGTTTGAGGCTCAGAACTTTCGGTTGAACCCTTGTCGTCACTGTTCGATTTTATATTTTTTGATGGGCACAGAAAAGAGCCTTTGAATTAGTGGCTATTTTTCGCAGTTACTCCCTCTGATGAAATTAGTTACTTGGCTGTGAAAACATATTTTCATCATTTGCTGCAGACCTTTTTCTCGTAATTCCACGAAAACATTTTTTCCGAGCCTTTAAAAAAATATCTAACCACTCTAAATTTTAAAATTTCACCTCGTTGAATCGTGAGCTCAATTTTTTTGTCAATCCGTTCTTTTTATAAAAACGTTGGGGATTTTTTTGCTTAGAAGCATGGTTGAGAAAATTGCATCAATTCTCGAAGACTCACGTTTCTTTCGGGAGCACAAAAAAATTGCCTAATTTTTGTACGGGACTGTTCGTTGTTTTTTTTTTTATGAAGAAAACCAGAAACGAAATTTATTGTGGAGTTTCGTGGTTGAAAAAAGATTTTTTCCCCCGCAACCCCACGGTAATGCTTTGCAAGAAAGCCTTTTGTTCGCCTTCATTAGCCTCATTTTGGTTTTGCAGTTTTGACTCCGGGTTTTTCTCGTTAGTCCCGTCGTTACGGCACATAATTCTGCGTCTGTGAGGGGGGCAAAAAAAGAGAAAGAAATAATGTAAGAAGTGGAAAACTGAGTGACTTGTTGTCACGATATTCTTGACTCCATTTTCGAGCTCATTCTCTAGTTTTGTCTGTGTGTGTGGGGATGATTAAGATACAGAATTGTGCAGGTAACATGAAGTTTTCTTCCTTTCGGGCGAGATATTTTGCGTACAAATTGTTGGGGGAAAAGAGAGGGGGTAAAACACGAAATCCGAAACCAGTCATTAGCAGTTTTGTTTTTTTTTCTCTCGAGATGTGAAAATGGAAGAACTTGTTTTTTTTCGACTGTTCAATTTTAATTTTACCCCGCTTTTAAAAATGGGAAATCTGTTTCGAATTAGTTTTCGCTCGGGGATGTTGAACTTTAAGTTGTTGAATGAAGAGTTCATTTATTTATTTTTTCAAATCTTCAAAAATTACAGTCGATTCGACTGCGAAACTTTTGAAAAAATCATGTTCAAGTGCTGAAGGTTTTCTTTGAGAAGCCCTGACTTATTTTTACTGCAGTATTGTAGTACGTTAAAATAAATCTGCTTGACAAACACGAACGTTTTCGAGATCACAAATTTGTTGAAAGATGTAGTTCCCAAAAGAATGTGAACTTGACAAGAGTATTTGACTGCAAAAAAGATCATCAGGTTCTTTCGAAACCCGAGAGTTGGACTTTCAACTCACTTTTTTTTAAATATTTCCCTCAATTAAAGTGAACAAAAATATTTGAAGAGAAAATTATTGCGCATCGTTTGAGATATTATTCAATGACTCCTTTCGAAAAGACTGGTCATTGATTATTTGTTTTCTGCTTGTTCTGAGACCGGAAGGAATAGAAATTAACGGCATTTACAAGGTATCAAAATCATTTTACAAATACCGTATCGATTAACCAAATGCTTGAGCACTGCTAATCGATGCCAGTTTTCCATGTATTTCACGATACAGCGTGGATGCAAACAAAGGCTTTGAATATTCAAGAAACGTTTTCTTTCACCTTCAAAAGGGATTCATTTCCTTGTATTGAACGTCATCTTTGACCTTATCATCAATACGCTTATCATCAAGGCACATCATGTTGGTAAACAAGGTCGGAGATTGCTTTTGTTGAAAAAAGGTCAACGTCTTGATTTTTATGGAATCAAATAGGAGTTCTGCGTTTGTCAATAATTTATTTAATGACAAGGTAAACTATGAATTGTTCAAAACCAATACCTGAGTGAGAGGTAATGGATTTCGAAGGCCGTGTCGAAGAAAATAACCGAAAAACCCATTTTAGAATAAATAAATTCTTCAAGACCGATTTTTAGTCTGCACGCGCAAACAATTGTTTTTGTTTAAACCATACAGAGAATGAAAAAGATATACATTTTTATTCCAGAAAATTAGCAGAACTGTTTATAAGTTTTCCAAGTTTGTTTCTTTACCCATTTTCAAAAACAAAAATAAAATTTATACACGCAAAAAATTCTCAAAGCTTTTATAATGATTAGAGGTTTTATATGCACTGTATACCCATGTGCCAATAAGATGGGATTTTACAAGATCCGTTGAAGGCAATTTTATTGATTAAACCCTTTGCCAATCCATAATAAACTGCTGAATTCGTGAAAGCTACTTTTTTCAGTGAGCTTCTTCCTGGTGCATGAAAAACAATATACATTATCTTTTTTTTTTCGGATGAAATTTTGTAATCAAAAGCCTGGCGAGAGACTCGAAAAAAATTCTATTTCTAAATCCTCGAACCCCGCTGATTTTGAGACCTGCAAAAAATAATATTGGCGAGTTCCTCGTAAGAATATCCTTTCAAACACGTGTGCGTAATGTGCTACACTTATTTTTCTTTCGTTCAGCACCTGACACACACACATGAAAAGAAACCCAGAAAAAAAAGTGGATCAAATGGATGACTGTATTTTTCTTTTTTTTTTCTGGTGGCTCCTCAATGGGTGACAAGGAAGAAAACGAACCCTTTTTCATCCATTCATTCGTATTCCTCGCGTGCCTGAGGGTAATCTGAAGCAGCTGGAGGGGGTTCCTTTACTGGGATGGGTGTCGTGTCCCGTGCCCTCGGGGGTGGGTTACTGACGATCGACGGTGTCGTGGTTGTCTGGCCGAGAGTGCCGAGTCTATTCCACCTTGAAAAGCGGGGCGGATATATATATGGGGTTCCAGTTGCGGAAATGTGGTGCGAGGGCATGTCCACAAGTTGTGAGACTGATGATCAGCAATATACAAAATTGGAATACTGTATTTATACACAGAAAAGCGATTTAAAAAAATATTATTACGATTGATTGATTGATTGATTGATTGATATGAAAGCTTCATTTGCCACTTGTTATCATTCACAAGGTTCACAAAATTTTCCCACATTGTGACAATCATTTTAATCACTTTTTGCATTTAAAAAAATATATTTGAAGTAAACGTTGAAGAAATTGTCAAAATACACAAAGATCCATTGCAATAAATCTTCATGAAAAAGTCTGGTTTAGAAGTTACAATAAACATAAAAACATTGCATTTGAATGAATGAACAGAACACTTTATTTGCTGCTTTTCAGCGTTCACAAGGTTCAATCAAGATTTCCACAACCAAACCCCTTTCCCACCCAACCCAAATCCACTCAATGACATTTAATCACTTCAGAGCAGGAAAGAAAAAATTGAAAAAAATACAATGCAACATGAGTTACAACATTGTATTTAAAAACTAGGTCAATTGGGTCATAGGAATGCATGTAGTCACCAATTCAGATTATTTTTGTACTAATTGTGGCATAATTTTAAAGTTAAATGTTTAGAAAGGTATTGCAGGTAGAAATGGAATATAGGTATAGTACCTTGTAATTCAGCCACCCAAAATTTGTCCATCCCACATTTTGACAGTCAAATTTGCTGGGAGGTCCACTTGACCCCTGCCCTGTAATTCAACCCACATAGAGATGCAACCCATTAAATATGATGAAGAAGCCATTGCATTTGGCCAACTCCTTCACAATCTGACCCTAGTCCAGAAATTGTGGGCACCCCCTGTAACTATAGAAAACATAAATTTGAATGAGTTAATGTATAATACATTTTGTGTTACAATGAAGCTATTTCACTGGTCCCAAAGGTTTCATTCTTACAAGATTTTACAGTTTTAGTCTTAAGCATATGACTACATAATTAATCCTTGAATAGCGGTTGCTTGATTTCCATTGCGAAGTGGAATTGGAATTTTTTTCATGGAGGTGGCACATTTCAGTCTGACCCAAGGTCAGTGAAATGCTCCCAGGTTGAGAAGACCAAAGATGGGAAAAACCTACAAGGCAAATGTTCTATTGTTTTCAGGAATCTCCCATGCAAATCCAATGCGTGGGCTGCAAGAAAAAAATTTAAGGGATATTTTAATTTTTCATTTAAAATTTTATTCAGGATTAGAAAAAAGCATTGAAGTTTTTCCTGACTTGGACTGGAACAAAATATACTTTTTTTTAAATATCCAGTGCTCAGGGGCACTAAATTTTGCAAAAATATCCTGAATTTGCTGTCCAAGGGTAAAAAGAAAATGCTGCTGTACATCCGAGTACATACAAATGCATAAATAATGATTTGCCATGATTTTTCCTCAAATACTGACAACAAATAGTAAAAAATATAATTTGAAAAGGCTCTTGTACATGATACATTTAATTAAATCTACTCTCTATGATGTGCAGGTCTCAGAATTAACTCAACAGAATTAAGTCACGTTTCAGGAATGTAGCAGCAAATTCAGTATTGCTAATAATGATCAATGCCAATTTCTGTTTTATTTTATGTGAATTATTCAGCACTTGCTTTTGCATTACCTTCAGTAATGGACACTGGAAGACAAGCTACCACTTCTTTATTGCCACTTTTTTTTCATTTGTGACAGCCAAAATTTGTTCGAAGCATGGTTTGACGCACAATTTTTCAAAAAATTGCAATAATATATCGTAAATCGCCTGTGCCTCAAAACTTATTGGGTGTCCCTTGTACAGTTATCTTATAGAAGGAGGTTCATTCTCCTAATTATTCCCAGGCCGTCTTCGCAGAAGCTTCATGATGAGAAAATGGGATTTATGGTTTTCGGCTCTTGATTATCAAAGCTGTGAGTAATTAATGTCGAAAGTGTCTTACTGGGTTGCATATATCGGAGTGTCTGGATCACTTGGATGACGGGGTTCTTAATCAATCAAGAATATAATCAAGCGCTTCTATCCATTTATTTAATTGACAGTATCAAAAGAAGAACACGCAAGCATACGATTGGAAGGTTTATATATCTATTGATTCCTAGAAAAAAAATTCAAGAAAAAGAAATTTCCGAATAAAATAATGAAAGGAGGGTGAACATGAACAAATTCGGAATTCAAACTTCGTCTATTTTCATTTGATGCATTTTGTTTAGAAATGCACCTGATTATACTCCATTCTTGCCTCAAAAAAGGACATTTTTGGCGGTGATGTGAATGGAAATGAGCTCAAAATAAGTCTTGGGCAATCACTTCATGCATAACTTCAGATTACCGTAATAAGAAAAGAGAAGCTGCGACAGTATTATAGATTTTTATAGCTTTGCAAATGCATTTAACGAGTGTATTTTGATGCAAATCTATCAAGAAAAGTGTGCATGTCTTACGTCATTTTAAAATTAATTTAAATTGTAAAGGGTTTGTAGAATTTCAAAAAAATTCTGTATCTGTATATTGATGGTATTTTATTTTTGTACATTTTAAAATCGTACAAGCTTCAGATTTGGTTTGTGGCGTTTCTACCAATTTTTGAGGCAAGGAATTCGCTGAAAAAATTGCCAAAAAATATATCACCTTTCCCCATTGCTATTTTTGACCTCGGAACAAGCCCAGCCGTCACCTGGAAAAATACCAGGCCCTGTTGCCAGACTCCCAAGTATCCTGCTGTGGTTGACTTTCAAGGGAATACTGCGCCGAGTCAGTATTTATTGGTTCCTATCAGCAGGAGGGTCGTGTTGAGACTGCTGCTGCTGCTGCTAAGAATAAAGATACTGCAAAGGAATAATGGTGAAAAGAACAGAGAATTTTGTAGAAAAAAAAGAAGAAGAAGTAGAGAAGGAATCAGCAGATGGAATGAAGATGATGGAAGGAAGAAGCCCGCGGAGGAAGATGCGCGCAAAATGGACCCTGATGGGTTTCGCTTCAGGAGGCTGATTGATGGGATGTGCAAAACGTAAATAAAAATAAGAAAGATAAAATTCTGCACTCTGAAAATTTCCCCGAGTTTCCTCGGAAATTGTTCCAAGAAAAAAAATTTCAAATGTTCATCAAGATATCCTTCTTTTTCAAGTGTTCAAGTTTTTAGGAATAAAGAAAAACCCAAGCGCGATTTTTTTTCCTTAAAAGGTCACAGAACTAATTGGATCTTTGACATCATTAAATAAAGAACAATTCAGTTTTCTTCAGAAAAATGCATTGGCAAATCCTTGATTTAATAGAGGAGAATTTTATACGATAAAAGACAATTATGTTTTATTTAGGAAAACCCAAGCTCAAATTTATTCTTGAAATTTCCCGGAGCTTTTTGGCTCTTTGGCACCTTAGTTGTTAAAAAATATGCTTGAATATTTTTCTAGTTTTTCAAATTTCTTACTCCATAATCAGATGCCCTATATACATGTTGGCAAAACTGACTTTTAATAAAATGAAACTCAAGGATTTGGTCAGCGTAAATTTATTTACCCGGGTGAATTTCACCCTATTATAATGTTGGTATATTTCAGTTATACAGAATCAGACACTTAAAATTTTTGCAGGATATTTCAAACAGCACACATGAGAGTCACATTTGGACTGAGAAAAATATTATATAGACGGTATCAGGAAAACTATCCTTCAAGGTTACTGGGTGCAAAAAAATAAATAAAAACTGAGTTTGAGTGAAACCAACCTCAGAGGTCAGTTTGCACCATCACTTCAGGAATTCCAGGGAGCACAAGGTTTTCCCCCAAATTCCAGGAATTCTTAAAGACAGGGAAGACCAGTTTGTACCTTGACAAACCCGTCTAATCTGCCCTCGAACCCATCTCGAAAATTCGCGACAATATATACGAAATTAGGATGCTTCCCTCTTTTTTTTTAAATAACCAAGGTATTGATAACTGATGAAATCGTGTTCCAAACTTGGTCTGTATGAATTTTTGGATATTTTTAAAGTGTTGCCAATGTTTTTTTATATTCTTCCATCAGGTGGCCTACGAAATTACGATGGATTACAACAACCACTTGGCGATGGACGAACCCAGGATGAACATTTCAGACCGCGGTTTGCTTCCACGCGGACGCCAGGTGTTCAGGTAACTTTTCTCCCAAGCCTCCAAAATAAATAAATAAAATAACACGAAACTCCCTATAGAAAAAAAAAGAGATTCAGCAAAAAAGTGAACATTTTTCTCTCTTCTTGTTTCCATCAGAATTGACTTTCCGTGCACTGGGGCAGAGAACGCGGAAGTCGACATCACACTGAGCGTCAACATCACAACTGTCTACGAATTGTCGTCACTGCGGCTCCGGAGAAAGAAGATTTGCTTGAAACGTGAGTTAATACATGTGTGGAAAATGGGGATGAGAGAGGGAAACGAACAAGAAAATTCCCTAGGATGTTTTTGTTTCGTTTTTTTTTTCTCTTTTTTCCCCCAGTTAATATAACAAGATGAACTCGGCCCTTCTTTTTTGGCTGCTTCAGGAAGAACGAAGCGAAATTTTTCTCCCGAAAGCACTTGTGCCTATTTTCTTGTTTTGTTTCCGAAGGTTTCTGTGGATTCTTCAATTATCTCGAAAAAGAAATCATCTCATGAATTGCTATCCCGAATAGAATTATGATTCAGACTCATGCAATTTATCCCCGAACGTCCATTTAATTCCATTCAAATCTAGGTTAAATGGAATGAACTTTATTTTATGAGGACTATTTCGTTTCTCATTTCGGCTCGTGCTTAAAAATGTAAATTTTGATTCTCAAAAATGTTGACGCTTCAAGTAAACATTCTCAAGTAAAATCGCCGATATTCTCCGTTGATAAAATTTTTCAAGAAGTAGGTAATTTCCACTCAAGGGATTTCCAATATTTTTGCGATTATTTTTTTGGTAATGCGCCTGATTCCGAATCATTCAATTTAAAATTAGATAAACCTTGTTTCCTCGCCGTAATGTGATGGAACTTCAACTTTATAAATTATTTCGATTTAAACCTGATTTAGGAGAATCAAAACATTGATGAGAAACTTATTCTGTATATTATATGGGTGAACTCTATTTCTACAATAGAATATTCAAGGGACCAGAAAAAAATTGATGCTGTGAACTGCTAGAACATGGAAACTTATGGGACCGAAAAAACGTTATAAACTGAAAATTGTTGTAGACGAGATTTGTGTACAGTATATTCAAATTCCAATTATAAAAAACACGTCCATTCAATTACAGGGAGACTGTTATAATTAATATGCAACCTCTCCTGAATTTATTCCGGATCTAATCAATAAATCATAATTAAAAGAGAAAATAAATTCCTCGCTTCACGCTTCCATGTTCAAAACCCGTGATAAAATATTTCAACTATCGTCTCGTTGGAGAAAAATATTTCGCGTAAATTTGCGCCTCAAATCGATTCCTAAATAATGTCGTTATCGTCATTGTCGTTGTCGTTGCAGATTTAGTGGAGATCCAACAGCAGCAGAACATGAACACCAACAACAACAACAACCACGTGCATCCTGCGAATAATAAGAAGCAGAAGGAGACGAAATTGGCAGACGAAGGCAAACGGGTCTCGGTCGAGGATCGGATCAAGCAGCAGCAGGTGGCTGAGGTGGAGGATCCCGCTGCGGCAGCGGCAGCCGGGGGATCCCCCGGGTCCGGATCCCCGGATCCCCCGGGTGTGCCTCTGCCAGACGTTCGATCCGCCCAGCACGACGGCGGCACTTTGGCCGCCCCCAACGGCAGTGTGGCTTACATTGCCACGGGTTCCGTGTGCGGCGTCATTGTGACCGTGATGATGGTCATTTTGGTCCTCCACTTCCGGCGGAAACGCAGTCAACGTGGACCCGGAAGAACGTGAGTGGTCTTTTTTATTTATTTTGGGGCTCGTTCTTTTTTTTTTTTTTTTTGTCTGTCAAAAATCGAATAACAAACAGTGTATGCCTTTATCATGTATATAGGGTGAACTAGAAAAATAAAATTAGGCAAAGTTCTACATTTGTAGCACTTCACTTCATAGCTGTGAAATAATTTTAAAATGCGCGGAACACGGACAATGTCTGTTCAAATATCTTCAAAATTTTATTTTATTCAGAAAATCAACGGGCAATTTTTCTCTCGTGGTGCTATGCAGTATTTTTTATATACAGTATTATATTTTGTGTATGTTGGCCACGTCAATCCATCTAGGATCGAAAAAAAAAGCATGCATTGTAAAAAAAAAATATCGAGTCTCAAGTTGAACATTGTACAGTACTGTATTTTTAAGCAATATGGCTATTTTGGAAAAACTTTTAAAAAATATGGGAGCTAGGCTTCAGAGCTTCAAAAAGTTTCGACACCTTTTTGTTTTGTGCTTTGAGAAATCATATGGCAATTTCCATTTTGTAGTTAAAATTTTTTCCAAATGTGTCTCATGGTCAAATAAATATACTCTACATCGAAATTTTTTTTATTCAGCATGAATTTCAATACAGTACTTGAAAATGTTTTGAATGTCTTACTGAAAAATTTTTTAAACAGGAGTCTTGGAAAAATATTACAGGTTCACAGACTTGAAAATTTTCCTTTTTTTTTTGGTTCATCATGTAATATTTTAGAAAAGTTGACCGTTGAATAGAAAAACTTCATTTTAAAGCAGGTACTTTTTTGAGAATATTATCCAGCACATTATATGAATGATTGAAGAAAAAACCATTTCCAACTGCTGGAAAGGAAATTGACGACGGAAAAGCTACTGAAGCATAAATTGGATTTCATGGCCGGAGGCGAAGGAACCTTTCTTTATTCATTCGAAAAATGTACTCTTGAATGGTCACTTCACAGAAAAAAAAAAAAAAAAAAAAAAACCTGGCTTTCTCTGGAAGCGTTTAAAAAAAAAAAAAAAAAAAAAAAAAAAAAAAAAAACCTGGCTTTCTCTGGAAGCGTTTCAATCGCTTCTGCCCTGAGGCACAGTCATCTTCTGTTCAAAATTAAATTTGTTTGAACGCGAATTTCTGAGAATTCAGAGGAAAATGAAAGATATGTTTGCTGGAAGAATAAATTGTTTCAGAGCGTCAGTCGGAAAATACAATACAGTACTTTTATTCAACTTTTCATGAAACTTGATTATTATTTTTTGGATATTGGGGAGAATCGAGTTTAATCTAAATCGATTGCGAATCACACAAAAAATAGACGAGGAAAAAATGTAAATCGAAATCCGCATAATTCTCTTTGCTTACTTTCAAAAAATTAAAAGCAAATTTTCTAAATGTTCGAAAACTTCACAATTTATTCCTCCATTTCGAAATAACTATTCAAATTAAATGTATGAAACTGTTGATCGAAATGTTCTATAATTTTTCCAATTCTTCAATCTTCCAGTTTTTTTTTATGGCGATAGAAGATACTTCTGACCATTCAAGTATGCGAGTTTCGTATTTTTGTTTGAACGCAAAATTATATTCTCGATGGGTTCTATGATATTTTTTCTCGTAAGCTTTACTTACCGAAAGAATATTCTCGGATAACTCACGCATGTCAAAAAGTGACTCAGGCAATTTAAAATCCGAAAGCTCTAGTTTCGTGATTGAAGAGAAAAATTACATGCGGACATTTTTGAAGCAGATGAAATAAATTTGTCATTTTTCCGAGAAAAAAAAAGAAACGTTTCCGCCCTCGGTATATATAACTACTAAAATATCAGACTAGATGAATGGAAAGCTAAATTTGATTTTCTGCTCATCAACGAGCTGCCAAGTTTCCTGACGCCCGAAGGGCCCCATTTTTTAAGACGGTACGGTGGAAAAAAAAAATGAAATATCCCCTTAGGCTTCGATTCCTTGACAAGTTTTGCTAGCGGCGACGTTTTATTCATAGCATCGCCAAAAGGGGGGAAAATGAAAAGAAAAATAAGAGTGAAAATAAAAAAAATAGAAAGACGCCGGACGTGGGTTCCTGTCGGCTCCTGTTTCCACCCTCTATAAGAATTGCCGCCATCATTCCAGTGGGCTCCAGTGTCATGATGATGATGCATTGTGCCTGAGGCACGGGCTCTGGCCGCCCGGACGTCTGACGGAATGGCTGCTGCTGAGGAGATTGTAACTGAGATTAACTTTGTAGGAGAGATATCATTTTTTTTTTTTTTTTTTAGTCAGGTACACTTTTTAATGAATTTATAAACTCGTTTGTTTGGGATTTAATTTGGTGTACCCAATCTCCTTTTTCTTGCGGCCCAGAAAACGTTTTTTGGCAGAAATATTCATTTTGCGATTTTCGAGTGCAAGAATGATAGTACAGTATATGCGACGAAAGCCTCATGGGAAAAATTTTTTTTTCTTTAAATTTGCAAAAAAAAAGTTTATACATTTTGTGGGAAAGAATTCCGGTGAACTCTTTGTATACAGTAATTTTTGTCAAATCAGTTTCATTTTCGCTCCAGCATTTTTCTTCTGAATCAGGAAATTCTCTTTGAACGTCTTTGGCGGAATAAATGCTAGGATTAAAACTGAGATTAACTTCGTACGAGAGATGTTTTTTTTTTTCTTTCAGTCAGGTACATTTTTTTATGAATTTTCGAGCTCGTTTCTTTGGGATTTAATTTGGTGTGCACAATCTCCTTTTTTTTCTTTATGGCCCGGAATACTTTTTTTTGCAGAAATATTTATTTTGCGATTTTCGAGTGCAAGAATAATGAGAGCATATGCGACGAAAGCCTCCAGGGACAAATTTTGTTTCTTTGAATTTGGATGCACAATTTTATACAGTTTGCGGAAAATAATTCTCGTGGACTCTTTGTATATAGTAATTTTTTGTCAAATTAGTTTCATTTTCGCTCCAGTATTTTTCTTCTGGATCAGGAAATTCTCTTTAAACGTCTTTGGCGGAATAAATGCTAGGATTAAAACTGAGATTAACTTCGTAGGAGAGATAAATTTTTTTCCTCCATATTCAGGTACATTTTAAAATAAATTGTTAAACTCGTTTTTTGGGATTTAATTTGGTGTACCCAATCTCCTTTTTTTGTGGCCCAAAAAACTTATTTTTGCAGAAATATTTATTCTGCGATTTTCGAGTGCAAGAACGAAACTGTGCGATACGGACCCTTTTGAACCGATTCAATTTCTTTAAATAATTAAATTCGGGAAAAAAATTTCAAAATGTTGCATGAAAGAATTCTCGGGAACTCTTTGTACTTGATAATTTTTGTCAAATCAGTTTCATTTTTAATCAAGCATTTTCCTTTAGAATCTGGAAATTCTCCTTAAACGTCTTCGGCGGAAGAAATGCTAAGATTGAAACTGAAATTAATTTCATATGACCCCATTTTTTAGTTTTCTGAGAAATTTCTCAATGCCTTTTTATGCTTTAAATTTTTTTTTGCAAATCTTTTGACCATTTCTACCTCTTTTTAGCCGGAGAAAAAATTTATCTGACAATGAGTTCTTTCCAGACGTATAACTTTCAAAAAAATTTTCGTCTATGACAGAAGTGTGTTAATTGTTTTTGAATCAAAAATTGCGTTAGAAAGAATGACAATTTTTCTTCAATGTGAAAAATGATACTCAACTTTTCACTTTTAAAATGATTGTCCACCAGCGTGGTCGACATGTTTCGGTGTCCTACCTGTTTGTATTAAAAGCTTCAAAAAAAAAACAAGAGACACAAAACAAGGACAACAGTATAAAGAAAAAGAGAGAGAAAAGAGAGGAAAAAGGAGTCTGATGATGGTATGACAGGGATGTTTCGGAAAAATGCCTCGTTATATCCTCTGGAAAAGTGCGTGCGTGACGGGTCGCGCTCATGGGTTATTTTGGAGGGGTTCGGGGTCTTGGGAAAAAGCCCCCGAAATTTTATCACCCCTCCGGCGTCCGTTTTTAATACGCCCCTCGTTCGCGTGCTTGAGGTCAGGTCATCGCTTCTTTTATTTATTTTTTGCTACTTGTTCTCCCCGTTTTCTATTTATTTTTTCTTTGCTTCAGTTCCTTGGTCCAGTTTTTCCCTATACATGCAAAATGTGGGCGAAGGAGATAAAAACCGAGGCGCTGTACTTGAAGCGAAAACGGGGGCTGCTTCAGATCGCTTTTGGATGCCGATAAATCCCCGGAGTTTGATGGACCAGCTCTTTTTTTCTTTTTTTTGCAGTATGAAAAATTGCACGTTGAAGTATTTGACGTCTGGTTACTGTGACGAGGATAAAATATTGAGTCAAAGTGGTTTTTAGTGTAATTATAAATATTTTCACATTTTTTTCAGCGCTCTTTTGGACCCCCAAGAAAAACTAAATTTTATTGCAGGGATGGATTCAGTTTCATCGATGAACCGTGTGATGAAAAATGATACTTTTCAGTCATTGTCACGGGGTAAGAATATGTGGAGGAAAAAACTATGAACACCCCAGAATCCGAAAAAATGAAAGTCTTTCAAGTAAAATTCGTAAAAATTAGTGCTGCATTAATAACGCATCGGATTCTGTTCGAAAGTTTTCAAAAAAATTCAGAAAATATATTTCAAGAAAAATATTTGAAGTTTTTTTTCCGACTGCTTATTGTCAGTCACTTTTTGAAGACGCGCGAAAATGGGACAAATTTTGCATGACGAGAGTCTTCAATCCATTTTTATCAAATAAGCCATTTGATGAAAAATTTATGTTGATTATACTTCTCTTGATTTCGCGGAAAATCCCTTTATGAAAAATTATCAAATGTCATGAATCGAAAACAGAAGAATCATTTTTAAGCAATTCATACATTTGGAATTGATAGCATGAATTATTTTCGTATTTACTCAAGTGTCATGTGCCGTCATGCAAGATTTGTATCTTGATATTTACAACAAAAAATTCGCTCAACCCAGTTTTCTGTAACACAAAAAGATTCATCGATTTTTTGGAGATAAATTCTGAACTTCGAAAGGACATTTCTCTTTTTCAAATTTTCATCTTTAATTTTGATTCGAGACAAAGTATATGTATTTCAATCGAAATGAACCTCATAACACTTCACTGAATGTGTTCCAGGTATGACGCGCTCTAAATATTTTCTAATTTGGCAAAAAAATATTTTATTTTGCCATGAAGGGCCCATCTTTTGAGCTTAATTTTTTATTTTAGAAGGTGTTTGTGTGTGGTACTAGAGTTAGCGCTTAATTTCGACTCAATACAATTTTCTCATTTTGTTCAATTTCTCAATTTTATGCTACATCTCATATTCAGTTGAGACGCAAAAAGCTTTTTAAAAAAATCGCAACTCTTCATATACCCTGTCTTCAAAACCGGAAATATTTCCATTTATTTTCTCGAGAAGAATTCACGTAAGGGTATTTTTGAAACTTCTTCAAGTTTTATGAGAATTCAAGAATGTAGAAACAAGTCATCCCCTCTATATGTATATATACAGTATATGTAACTAAACTTTGGGATATTGGATCCCCCGAGGGTCTGGTTGACTTGCCTTTGTGTCTCACAGTGAGGACGGATTTTTTTTCTTCCTTATATTCTTTTTCGGCATTTTTTCTGTTCGTCCACGTCTATCTCTTTGATGCTTCGAAAGGCGAAGAAGAAGACGAAGAAGAATAAAGACGTATTAGGTTCCAGTTGATCACCCTTCAATACCCCCCGCAGGTGCGAGGAAAGCTTTGAAATCTCATCCTCCTGTTTCGAAGCGGAACCCCCCCTTGAAGAAGGGTCCCAGAGTCTGGTTAATAACTCCCAGGGCTGGTGTATGTATATGTACGAGGGTTGGTTCATAAGTTTTTAAAAATTTTGAAATAGATCCAATGGAGTTTCAATTATGCTGAAATTTTGTTTTTAATTGCATATAGTCCCATCAATTTGGCAACACTTCAGTGCTGCAAATTCAACCATCAAATTGCAGGATGGTCAATTTGTGAGGTACAGTACCACCTGTATCTCCTCTTGCCTTATAGTAAAACATAAGTACCAATCATTAAACTCAGCCCCAGCTTTAAGAAGAGAATCATCTCTAACCTAAAGTTCATCCCAACAGAATAAAAAAATAAGGTAAAGTCTTGACAACTGAAGAGACATTGGAAGTGGCTAGAATTTATTTCAACAGAACCTTTGACAGCTTAAGACAACCAAGCACTTGTTCATGCAATAAATCCAATGGTCAAAATAGTGCCAAAAATTGATAATTGTGCTGGTTGATGAAGCTGTACTTTGACAACAGAAATGTGGGTGTCACTGTCCTCAAAATCAATCCCTTTTAACGTCCGCAGTGGGAGGAACGACCAGTAGGATCCTACAGGGGTCTGGGGGGGGGAATAAATAAGGACGTCGTGTAAAGTGTGTCTGTGGCCTTTTGCACCTTGAATTAATTTGCCTACTTGAAAACGCATAAATTAACATTAAGTTGTCAGGATGGCCAAGTGGTCTAAGGCACTGCGTTCAGGTCACAGTTTGGTTCTGCAGGCGTGGGTTTGAATCCCACTTCTGCAATCGTTTTTTCATTTTTTTTTTTTTCCGCACTGCGGACGCTCTACTATTTATAATTCTTCACCATTAGGAACAGGAAGAAGTCGCAGAATTTTTTTCAATATTTCTGGCGAATTTTTTTTGCAAAAAAAAAAAATCATTGTACCCTGTGATTCAGAATTTTTTTCTTTAATTTTAAAAACTTATGAGCCATCCCTCGCATATACAAGTGCAGTATATATTATATGCTTATAAGAACGGTTCCATGATGGGGGAAATTGGCAGGCGGGGGTATCAATTTTCTGCCTCCAGGCCCTGATGAGCATCTTCTGGGGGGTACGAGGATAGTGTGCCCGGGATGCGGGCAAGTTTTTGGTGGCAAAACTTGGGCCAGGCCTGGATGGGCCCTCTTCTCCAGCAGAACCCCCCCTGCTTTTAATGTTGATTTATGGATCACTGGGTTCGTTTCGTCCTGAGATGTGCTGTGTGGTGGTGGTGGTGGAAAGCATCTCGCTGTCTGGGAAATCGAATGTTATTACTGTAAAATGGGCTTCGGGCCGCCTCCAGGAATTTTCCACACCCCCCGGGGGGGTCTTCATTCATTTTCAATAAACCTCCGGGGTCTGACTGGATGCTGTTATTTTGGGGATGAGGCGAAAGTTCAACTTGG